TAGTTATGTTTTTAAAAGAAAAAAAACTACTATTGTATAAATAACACATTCAATTGAACTAAACTATGCATGTCCTATTTAAATATATTTACACATGGCTTGTGTATATCGTATATATACATATATATTATTCATACCTTCGGTGTATAGGACGCAAACAGATTTTGACATCAAATTTTGGGGTAAAAAAGTGAGTCTTATACACCGAAAAATACGGTACACTCCAGATAATTATAAAATAACTTTTTATTTTAACCAAAGTTTTGCCTTTGCGGTTTCACCAGGGTTAGTACAACAGTTGATGAAGCCGCAAAGGCGAAACGTTGGTTAAAATAAAAAGTTTCTTTATAATTATCTGAAGTGTTAAGATCGTTTTTTTTTCTTCTAACTATTCCTATAAGCAGTATATTGAAGCAGTTTTCAAGTAAGTTAAACCAACATTTCACCGGGAATCTAAAACTACCCTCCTTTTAACTTTTTTTCAGCACTCTAATTGTTTCTATGATAATTGATTTTAATTGGCATTAAAAATGTGACATTTCATTTGTATATTACCATTTGTTAAACCAAAACAAATATCTTGTTTAGCATTTGAAGATCCATTTCCAAAATCTTGTATGTTAATTGATCCAAGAGGAGCTATAGACAACTATATTTCGTCTTTACAGGACTGCTTTTCTAAATGTACCGTTCCTTGCAGGTTAGTCTAGAACTAAGTTATTCTTTAATAGTGATAGTATATATCGTTTATGTTCGTGCAGATGATATAAAAGTGTGTTTGTTTGTTTCGGATATTCGCGCATAACTAAATAAGGGCTATCTGCACATAGCCGTCCCTAATATGAGTTGATAGACTAGAAGTAAGACAGCTAGTCAACAATACTCAATGCCAACTCTTGGAATACTCGATTCGAATATTGGGATTTAACCGTCACTCTTATAACACATCCACGGCTCCAAAGTGCGGGGCACGATTTTAAAACAATGGGACGCGAAACATGGACGCGCTAATCATTAGCCCAACCTTAGTCCTTATAAAATTATAAGGTCTGCCTTTCACACAAAAGAATGAAGAATATAAAATATTTCTGAAAGAATATATTTATATCATACTAAAGAAAACCCTAATTCTTTGACTAAGTGGATGCCAAATAAGCTCAACATTGTTTAAAGTTCCATATTGTATATTATTGTAAACGTTTAAAGTTATAAACATAAAAAAAAATGTCTTTAAATATTTGATACAAAAATAAAAGTTAACATTCTAAGTGTGTTTAGTTTGCTTGGAGTTAAGTACAAAGCTACACAAATGGCTATCTGTGCTCTGCCCATCACGGGTATCGAAACCTGGTTTCTAGCGTTGTAAGTCCACAGACATATCGCTGTGCCACTGTTGGGGATTCTAAGTGTAATTCTTTTTTCTTAGATTACTTTCTTACGACTAAAAATACTGTAAACAATTTAAAATTCCAGTTCAACTACCCTCCTTGGGGTCCCCAGGTGGGACAGTGGTAAGTCTTCGGATTTAGAATGATAAAATCAGAGTTTCGATTCCTCTCGGTGGACACAACATATAGCCCGATATGGCTTTGCTATAAGAAAACACACACTTGGGAACCATAATATGTGTTATAGTTTTAAATTTTATGGTGGTGCTAATCTATAGTTATCTTAAATATTACCTAACTCAGATGTATGGAACGCCATACGACTCTTCGATGTTCCTCCTTATACAATGGGAATGAAGAAATCTCAGTATTGCTTTGATTGCAATCAGCAAACTCGACCAGGTCCGCGCTTGTCACAATTAATATTCTACCAGCCGACTACCGACTTGTAATTTCCAAGTTTATTTTTTCGTCTTCAGTTCTCATTCCTATTACTTTAATTGAGTTTATCATCTTTATTTTGCATGTCTCTTTTATTTTAATTAATTTTTATGTATGTACTGAGTAGATTTTTGTGTTTATTTTTGTACATCTTGTCTCATCTTCTCATTTCTTCTCTACGCCTTGCTAGCCCGTTCTTTAAGACTTAATCCTCCGATCCTATTGCCATCTTCCTGCATGTTGACTAACGGTTATTAATTAAGTTTAAATGGCCCAGGAAGTGTCTTTTCCACCTACGTTAAAAATGTTCAACTAATTACACTTTCTTCTGAAACTGTTCAAGTAAAATCTTTTCCCTAGTTGCTTTTTGTAGGACTTATCATGTAAAATGAATATTTGATTATTTATCCACATAAAATGTACCATAAAACACGGAGTATTTTAGATGTTCAGATGTTTTGAGAAGAAGTTGCGGTCTAGAAAGTTTTTCAGTTTAGGTTAGTTGAAACATCATAAACATGTGTTACAAACATAGGCGGAGAGTAGACACGTGCTGGTCCCCTAATTTGAACACTGGAAAACAAGCACCAATCAAACACAATATTCTATATTTAAGTCGAATGTAATCAATAACAAGCATGATGGTATATTCAAACTGAATTTAATCACCGACGAATAATAAAAAAGATCTTTATGAAAACTGGATGTAGTCATCAAAGGATAACAAGAAATGTCGATATGTAAATTGTATGTAAAAGTTAATTAAAGTTAATTTTATCAGGTTATATTTCTTATTTTAAAGTTTTACTTTGCAGTTTAAAGCAAGTTGACGTATTTATCTAATTAAGATTACGGGACAAGGAAGGAAAACTGTAACTTATTCCTTTCACTAATACAAGACTAATTACACTCACTACAACTTAAACACTTTTCGAATAATTTCTGATTAAGCTAACTAAACAGATCACAATAAAAATAATAATTGAGTAACTAATGTAATTATTTCTATATACTGGTCTGTCTAGCAGTGTTTAGTATATTAAAAAAGGAAGAACTTATAATGTTTAGCATACATCGATGTCGGGTAGATGGCCTCGCTATTAACGACATTTTCGGCCGTAATCCCAGTAATATTTCACAAGGTTTGGTCAACCAGCTTTTGAGACTTAGGTTAGTACTATTAAATCCATATACTAAGCTAACAATGCGAAATAATCTTCATGAGGTTAATAAATATATATGGATACATATTAAACAGTATATTCAATACTGATAATGAAACAAACTTTAAAAAAAGTTACAAGTAAATTCAGAAATTACACAAAAATATCTCCAGGAGACCCTACAATCTAACTACATTGTTGTGCATGTCTCCTAACTCGCTACTTGTCTTCCTTCTATGTACAGATAGCCCATTGTGCAGCTTTGTGCTTAACTTCAAACAAATAAAAAGCTATATATATTCAGGTGTGCTTGGCTGTAACTGTCTATGTTTTGTTATTTCAAGATGTGTGCGATGACCATTGGGATTTTAAAGCAAGATAAAACAAAGAAAAACAGACAGACCCAAAGTTTCATCGAAATAAATACAAAATTAAATAAAAATTACATTGACGTACAAGAGCGCTTACTTCGGTTGTTGCTATTGTTTAAAACAACGTGTTTTGAGCTGTTTAGTTCATAGATGATATATCATGTTTAAAGAAAAATATGTAATTAAATATGGCTAAAAGTGTGACTGTTTACTTAGCATTCATTTACTGATAACAAAAGAAAAATTCAATGTACCTGATGTCCGGATTGTTGATTCGTGGTTCACAATCTGTTGCATCAAACTTTTGCTCTGCACTTTGGGACAGTGGATACGTTATAAGAGTGACTGTCAAATCTTACTATTCGGCACAAGAGTATATCAGAAATTCCAGTAGGCGCTGTTGAATAGTTGTCTTCCTTCTAGTCTACCAGTTTGAAATTAGGGGCAGCTATATGCAGCTAACCCTTGGTTAACTTTACACGAAATTCTGAAATAAACCAATCAAAGTAATTGAAAGGTAAAATAGGCGTAAGAGAATTATATTTTGTAATATCAACGCCTTTAGTGATCATATTTACAGTAATAATTCTTTTAATGTCGTCGACCTTCAGCATTTCAAACTAGAAAATACAAATTTCTATGTAAAATAACATAGAAAGTCACGTGGATCTGTTTAGACTCGTCTCTGTGAAATGAATAAAGCAATTTCTTATTAGTCATTCATTACTAGACTACACTTTTCTCTGTTTTAACAAGTTATTTTTTTTCTTTTATTGGTCATCCATCACTATATATATATATATAGTGATGGATGACCAATAATATATATAGGTTAAAATGTTTTAGTGTCTCTGGTAAGGGTATTTAAAAGATATTTTTTGAGGGGGTTTTGAGTTAGGTTCGTAAAGAAAATTCTTAATATTTCATAATAAGGCAAAACTGTAAATATAATTATAATCACTTAGCATCCAATTTAACAGATTACTAGAATAAATATTGATATATTCGATATTTGTATATACTCTCTAATGAACTGCGGCATGTATTTAACTGTAGTAAAAGATCAATTATAGTAAGTTCATATTTCTGTTCCTTAAGGAAGATACTCTACACTGTGAAACTGAGAAAAAGTTTTCTTTTGACTAGACATCAGGTAAGTCATTTTCTTTAGAAGTATATCTAGATTAATTATTCTAATGAATGAGTGTCGTGTTTATAAAATGTTTGCCACTAATTTAACTTAGATATAAGACTCACTTATACTTCTGTGGGAAGAAAATTTTTAATCGGATATGAAACAAAAAAAAAAGATATTTAATTTTTATGTTTTTTTAATTTCTTTGTTATTAAGCACAAAACTACACAATAAGCTGTCTGTGCTGTGCCCACCGCAGGTATCGAAACCCGTTTTTAGCTTTATAAGTGCTGTTTTTGTAAAATATGGGCAAACTGCTACTAGGCTACTACATCTTCTCTTTAACAAGCATGTCATATCCTGTAGGTCAACTATCACCAGACTACTGTTTCTTCTCTTTA